GAAGCAAGCGTATCATGTAGCATACTTGCTACAGTTTATTTTAAATTGTCGCCGCTTGTGTAATTTTTTTAACTAAGTCATTACACATGATTATAAAGTATAAACATTTACAATTAGTCAAAATACTAGTGACTGTGACATTTTTGACTGCCCAGCATCTCGGGTCGATTCTATAATAAGTGCATGCTTGCAATATACATTTACTAAAGGCCGGCGCACACTAGAGCTATGTGCTTAGCAAAATGTCATTCGTGACTGTTGGCGTAAGGAGATAGCTCTCGTGTGCGGGCGATTTACGAACGACTTACGCCAAATATCTAACATGTTTGATAATTTCTGCCTCGCGTGCCAAAATCTTTCCGTGTGCGGCGAACGAAAGCTATCTGCTTACGGATTGTCGTAGCAGCGCATGCGTAGTATACGAAAGTAAACATCCAAGATGGCGGCGCAAAATGAATTGCTGGCCGAGGCAATTTTAGAGGACAAACTTGTCGAACTTTGGCCTGAATACAAATGTTTATACGATGTGAGTTCTGCAGATTTTAGAAATAGGGACAAAAGGGAATGTGCGTTGAAACAAATATCCAGTAAGTTTGTCCTCTAAAATTGCCTCGGCCAGCAATTCATTTTGCGCCGCCATCTTGGATGTTTACTTTCGTATACTACGCATGCGCTGTTACGACAATCCGTAAGCAGATAGCTTTCGTTCGCCGCACACGGAAAGATTTTGGCACGCGAGGCAGAAATTATAACGCGTTATAAGAAAGAAATGAGAAATTATAAGTCAAACATTGGTTCCGAGCTTCGCTAGTAGCCAACATTGCTTTTGCGTTCCTCCTCTTAGATTCACTTTGTTTTTGCTTTATTCTTTAATTTATACAGTTAGCTACCTTTTTAAATGCATCTGCCGGTTAAGAAACATAAAATCATAGTTAAAAATTGTCAATTAAAATACAATTATCAATGATGCTTTAAAACTGACGCCATATTTAAGCTGAGCAATATAAGCAAAACTTACTGAACTTCACTACATATTTTCTCTTTGGCGTGGTCTAAAATCTTTTCAATTTAGCATTATTTTACAGATAAAGCACTAAACATACTTTTTAAGTTTGTTGGCGATTGAGAAACGTTTCGAAAAATAAAAATTGAGTCATAACCTCAAGTGGTATATTATACGCATTAGTTTTGAGCGCGTGTTATACTTAACTTAATAAATTTACAGAATAAAGTTAATTAATAAATTTACTGCAGTAATAATTATAAACGCGCCTGATTACACGCCTGGGAATTTAATGAACTTGTATTTACATTTAAGCATTTTAAAACGTTTTCACTTTATCCAAATATTTTAACGCCCGAGTCAAGCAAAACGATTACACTAATAAACGGTTTGCTTTTTTATTTTAAATTCCAGAAGCAGAAGTTTATGCACCTGTGGGATCAACTTAGTGCTAGGACATTCAAATTATAACAATATAGGATAATTTCTATAGTGTCACTTTTTTTTGGGACACCCTGTATATGCCGAAGTTCATTAACGTCAGTAGGTTTTATAATTATAGGTGCATTATTATTTCCAATCCGAAATGAACGAAACGAAACGTCTACTGGAGGTATTTTTTTTGCGAGTGTAGGACCGACGTTGGTGAAGAAACTACAAAATCTTTCGGCAATTTTTGTGGGATCTGTTAACGTTTCATTGTCTGATATGAATCTCGTCGGGATAGAGGGCTTGTTGTTCCGTTTGTTAATTACTTCGTTTATCAGTTTCCATGTCAACTTCAAATCGCTTTTAGCACTTTCAAATTTACTCTCGTAATATGATCGCTTGGCTTTTCTGATAACATGAGTGAGTTTATTTCTGAAAATCTTATACCGTGATTCACGTATGGAATTTGGTGTTTTGATAAATTGTTTATGAAGCCTATTCTTCTTTTTAATTGATTTTAGCAATCCTTTTGTTAGCCAAGGAGCACCTAGGTTACCAGAATGTTTCCGTTTAACGACTTTTAGCGGGAAACAGGTTTCGAACAGCCTCGGGTACTCATTTATAAAAACATTGTAACAATAATTAACGTCCGGCAGATTGAGAGTATTGGACCAGTCTATGTGGGAAAGGAGGTCCCGAAATTTATTCACTATTTTTCATCTCGTTTTGGAAGCAATTCATCGTGAAAACATGCCACTACTAGAAGATGGTCATGCAGATAAATAATTTAAAATAATAGCACTAAAGCTGCATTTAGAAGACTGGTTTGTAAAATTATTATCAATCAATGTCGCTGAATGGGAAGTAATACGTGTTGGTTTAGAAATAAGTGGATAAAATGCATATGAAAATAAGCTGTCGACAAATTCTTGAGTATATGCATGGTTATTGTAATGAAACAAATCTGAGTTAAAATCGCCCATTACATAACAGTGCTTATTGTACTTAGAAATTATGCCAAGAATTCGGTTTAATTTGTCAACAAACAGTAACATATTTTGATTAGGAGGTCGATAAATTGAGCCCACGACTATGTTTTTTCCATGCGGGATATCGATCTCGACGAACACCGATTCAATTATATCAGGATCTGAAAAAGTACATTCAGGGCGTAACTTGTATTTCAAACTATCTTGTATATACAGACCAGTTCCTGCGCCGGATTTTGAATTACGGTGGTTAGAAACAAAATTGTACCCAGAAATGTTCACTTGATCTGAAGTGAGATCGTTAAGCCAGGTTTCGGATACTCCTATTACACGTACAGGCAATGATTTTTGCAGATTAGCCAGCAAAATTCTGAATTTGTCAAAATTACCAAGCAAGCTCCTCGTGTTCAAATGCATTACAGAAAAACTAATACTTTTATTTAAAGGGTTACCTCGTTGTTAAATTCTTCCTCTACGAGATAGTTACTAACAGGAGGGTAAAACGAGAGATTATTATCAGGGTCAAGGTAATTACAAAACGAATTGTTTATTACAGGTTGATCAATAGGATTAAATAGTAGGGACTCAAATCGATCATTATCAAAATTTAATGACCCATGGGTTAATTCATAAAGTACAAGGTTGAAACAACTATCGTCTAAATTATTAAATGGTAGAGCAGTTTCTAAATTAATATTTTCTTCAGACATTGTTATCAAAGTTTCGTATCACGTATGTAGGTTAATAAAGTATGTACTTATCTTGGGTATGTCGGGTTTTCTCTTTCAATTAGGTTTTCCAGATCTTTGAGAGTTTTAAGTTGTATGGGTCGGGAATCATGTGATTCTCGTAAGTAAATGGTGAAGTTCCTCACCCAGCAAAACCTGAAGCCCATTCGGTATTGGAATTTCTTCGCTTGTGCAAGCAATTTTTGCACTTGAGGCGTCAAATGGTCAAGGATTCGAGCTTCATCAAGCGAGTCTTCTGAGTAATAGTGGGTAATCTCGTGAGTAATAGTGGTCATCATGGCGGTGTGTGTCGAAAATTTTAGCTCCTTTGAAAATTCTTTAGATTCAACTTCGGAGCTTCTTAGTGGCATTGTAGATTCGAATCCTGATCACACAAACAACATAGGCTTCTTAGAGGTTTCACAGAGGGGAAGCTTGAAATTGAAAGGCACATTTGAAGGTCTAAAAGACTTCGTTGAATCAAATCAAATATCGACAGCGAAATGGACCTCGCCTGGTGGTGGAACTAAGTTATGTGAAACTGAGAATTTGGCTATACGATGGTACTCTACAACGGGATCGATAACTTTAAAAGGGGAAAGAGCTAGTGATGCAAAGAATAAACTTATATCAATCGCCGAAAATGAGAAGGAAGCAAGTCAAAAGTCGAGTCAACGTGCAATTACTCACAATTTGCATGCATCTTCGATCGATCTTACAACACCCCCTCCCATGGGACGAACCGAGGATAGCGTTCATTCAAGCGGTCAATCAATAATTCGCCGTTTGACGAGTTCAAAGTTACCATGGAGAGTTTTATTATTTCAACCTCTACCAAATTTGACGCGTTAACATCAGAAATTGCGAACCTCAAATAACTAATACCGTCCGACCAATGTATTGCATCTCTTCAGGCTGAAATCGTTAACCTGAAGACCGAGAACAACGATCTTCGCGAAAGAAATACGAACATATCTTATATCATGTCCGATTTACGCACGAAAATTAAGGACGTTGAAAATGAAAAAAGAAGTCTTATTACTGCTCTTAAACTGTTACAAGCTGATTCTAACTCTGACTTGGAAAAGCGTTGCCAAGATGAATCTGGATTAGGCGACGAAACCATCCAAGCAAACCCGCCATCTTCTGATCAACCACCCAACCAGCCAGCCAATAAAGAGAAGCGCCGTAAAAAGAGGAAGAGTAAGAAATCTAAACCAAATGTGCCAGATTTAACTGCTGATCATTCTACGGACGTGGCTGCTGCTCCCTCTGAGATTGCTGTTTCTGCCACATCTGAGACCGCCACTTCTGCCACCTCTGAGGCCACCGTTGGTCCAGATAGACCAGACTCGATGAGACATCGCAAGAAAACTGTTGTCATCGCGGGTGATTCTATTGTTAAGAATATTGTTGGTACAAAAATGAGTGGTAATGATTCTAAGCATTATTTCATCGTGAAACCATTCCCAGAGTTATCGCTTACTCAATTGTTAATCTTGTTACTCAAGCGAAAGAGGACTCGCCAAACACAACAATTGGTGTTTCTGCTATTGTGGTAAGAAATGATAATGACGATCTTGCTTTCAAAGCATTGCAAGCTAATATTATACTTAAGGAGCATTGTCTACGTAATGAGATACCCTTTTTAAATAATTCAAACATCAATGCAAAGCACTTGAACTATGAAGGACTTCACCTGAACAAAGAAGGAACTTCGTGTAGTGTTTAAGACTCAATAAAACGAGATAAACGCGTGTTATAGTGTTTGTGAACTATATATTGAATACTGATTAGTTATTCTTATTTGGATTAGTTATTAGCATATTAATTAGCTATATTACATCCCTCCCCACATTAGTATAGGTTCTCTGTTCTTCACGTTATATGTTATTCAAAATGTCTCCTCTGCCCGAAACGACAATAGGAATTTAAACTGAAACAAATTTCAACTGTTAACATGCAATATGTGTCTATAGTCATTGATAGTTCAATGTTCAAAATCCAAGTCTATTTGGTTGTCTTCTTTCTCGCTGGGATCTTCGTAAATGAACAGGTTCTTGATTCAGTTGGTCTTCGTTGGTTCGGTCGCAATCAAAATCGTCATCATCATCTTCGTCATCTGAACTATCCGTTACACGATTATCGATCTTTTTGAAGAAGGATATGTTGCGTGTTATCTTCTTCGAACCACGTTTGACGGTAACCATAGTTCCTTTCCGAGCTTCAACAGTGAATGGTTTGGGGTTAAATGGTGGGGTAAGCTTGTTCTTCTTTGGTTGACGGATCAGGACTGTGTCTCCTATCTTCAGATCAGTTGTTCTCGAGTGTTGTCGATGATCTGAGTATTTCTTCATCTTTTCTTTCTTTTCTTGATCTCGTTTTCGCATTGGATCTTGGGTTTCTTGTTGCTGAGTTTTTGGAATACTCGGAAGTGGTATCTTCAACTTTCGATTGTTCAGGGCCTCGGATGGTGACACATTCGTCGTGCTGTGCGGTGTGGCTCTGTACTGGCGGAGAAATTGATACAAGGCTTGTTTCCAGTTCTTCTTTTCGATGTGTGCTGTACGTATGGCTTTTTCAATGGTGCGCATAAACCGTTCCACTTCTCCATTCGCCTTTGGCCAATACGGAGTGACTTTGCGATGTTCGAAACCAAGGTAACTGGCAAATTGTTCAAATTCCGAGCTGTTAAATGGCCATTATCACTTTTAAGAACAACAGGAACACCTTGGCGGGAAAATATGTTATCCAGCTTTGGGATGACAGCTTTTGCGCTCGTAGTGGTGACAATTTCTACTTCGGGGAATCGGCTAAATTCGTCGATGACAACGAGTAGCAGCTCACCTGATGGGAACGGACCAACAAAGTCGACAGCAACATCTTGCCATGGTGCGTCGGGCAGCGGTGTCATGATCAAGGGTTCTGGATGTCGATGGGTACCTGTGGTTGCTGCTTGGCACGGCAGGCACGTCTTGACTTTCTGTTCCACCATCTTATCTATGGAGGGGAACCAGACCTTTTCACGAAGTAGCATTTTCGTTTTGACTATGCCTTGGTGGCCTACGTGTGCAAGATCTATGGCTTGGCTCTGCAGTGAATGAGGTAGCACCAGGCGGTGGTTTCTGACGATTAATCCATTGCAGACAGACAGTTCGTCCTTTACGTTAACGAACGGTTTCACTTCAGGATCGAGCCATCGGTTGTGTGTGATTGCTTCAGAAAGCTTGCAAAGGACTGGGTCGTTAGCAGTTTCTTTCTTCACTTCGTCGAGTTTCATAGCTTTGGGGATGAGGTTGATGCACAAATAGTTGATATAGGCTTCGGTGGTGTTGTCGGTGGGCGAAGAAACAACAGGGTTGGGGTGACGGCTGAGAAAGTCGGCAGGGTTTTCTGCATCTTTCCCTGGTTTGTAAACAACTTCGCAATCATAGGGCATCAGTCTTAGTTTCCAGCGGTCAATTCTCGCTGAAGTCGGTTTCTGACTTTTGAAGATTCCGAGTAGCGGCTTGTGGTCGGTGATGACAATAAACTTAGCGCCATACAGGTAAAGATGATAGTGTTCGATAGCCCATATAACGGCTAACATCTCGCGTTCAGTTTGTGAATAGCGGGATTCTACACTGGAAAGTGCACGACTTGCATAACTGATAACTCTAGCTGCCTTCTTGAGTAAGCAGTGCTCCTAAACCCGAGGGGCTGGCATCCACAATGACGGTGGTTGGTTTCGAAGGGTCGAAGTAAGCCATAACAGGATCATTCGTAAGCTCGTGTTGAAGTTTTTTCAGAGCATTCTCTTGTTCCGCTTGCCATTGCCATTTGGCGTTCTGGTGGGTCAGGGTACGCAAGGGTGTTGTGATGGAGGCATAGTTGGGAATAAACCGAGATACGTACTGGGTCATTCCGAGAAGGGACTTGACTTCGCTGACATTTCTTGGAGGTTGCATATTCCGGATTATGTCGATCTTCTTTGGGTCTGCCTGAACTCCACTTGCGCTGAATGTGTGCCCAAAGAATACTACTTGGTGCTGACGGAAGGAACATTTCTCACGGTTTAATTTGGCGTTGTTGTCTTGTAAGCGGTTTAACACGCCTCGTAAGTTCTCATCATGTTCTTTGTCATCTCGACCATAGACGATGATGTCGTCCGAAATATTCTTACAACCAGGTAATCCAACCAGTAGGTTTGCAATTGCATTCTGAAATATCTCCGAGGCTGCGTTAATGCCGAACATTAGTCGCTTGTAACGTCGAAGTCCAACGTGAGTGGTAAAGGTTGTGATATGGCGGGATTCAGGGTGTAACTCCAGTTGGTGGTAACCTGAGGCAAGATCTAGGGTGCTAAACACTGTGGCACCATTGAGGTCTGTGATTAACTCGTCGACAGTTGGCATGGGGTGTTTCTCTCTTTGCACTGCTTTATTCGCTTCACGCATGTCCACACATAATCGGATCTCTCCAGTTTTCTTGGGTACCACAACGATTGGGCTGACCCATGGTGTCGGACCATCAACTTGCTCAATGATATCAAGGTCTTCTAAACGCTGGAGTTCCTTTTCAACGTCCTTTCGGATGTGGAATGGAATGCGACGATGTTTTTGCTGTTTGGGTGTAACATCGGTGTCGATATGTAACTGGACTTGGGTGTTCTTTATCTTCCCAATACCACCGAACAAATTCGGGAACTCATCTTCAATGCGAGCGTTGTAAGAGCTAACTGCTGTGTTAATGGTTATCTTTAAAATTCCTAACTGTTCGGCTGTTTGGCAACCTAAGAGATTTCCACCGGTTCCCTTGGCAACATAGAAATTGGCATCCAAAGTTGTGGACTGGAACTGAATTGTAGCCATGACCATTCCAAGAATGGGTATCTGGACACTTGTACCGTAGGGGAAGATGTTGGACTCAGGCTGCTTGAGAGGTAGGGTGTTACTTTGGTTGAGCTGCTTGTATGTGGACTCGTCGATGATGTTTACCGAAGCTCCAGAATCAATAATGACATCAATAAGGTGCTCTTTAACCAACACTTGGCATTTGGGGGGTTGGGTTTTGCTGTTCGAATTGTTTTTCAAAGTGAAAATGTAATCAGGGTCGACATCATGAGGGCTAGTGCTCGGTTGTTCAGAAAGGTTGTTGACTCTGTTCCGGTGTTCGTGAGGTTTGTGTTTAGGGGTCGATCGGCATACCTTTGCAAAATGGCCAGTTTTTTTACAGGAATGGCATTCTTTTCCTTTGGCTGGACAATCTCGGGCATGGGGGTAGATACCACCACAGTTGCGGCAAGTTGATGTGTGGGGTTTGTTGGAATTTCTTTGATAATTTGAGCCGTGACGTTGATTTTGTGGTTTTCTCATGTCGCGAGGCGAGGGGTTATGTTTCTCGAGAGCGCCCGTCTTAATGGCGTTGATATTTTGACTTGACTCTTGTTTCTCCACGAATTGCGCTTGTATTTGACTCGTTTCTTCGGCTCTCCCCGCGTCTAAAAGGTTCTTTAAGGTCGGGTCTTCACGTAGAGCCTTTCTTCGAAGTTTCTGTGATGAGCAACCAACGATTATTTGGTTCTTTATCTCTTTATCGACATCTGTAAACGAGCAATTTTGCGATAGCTGACGTAAACGTGTATGAAAGGCATCTAGGGTTTCGCTTTGGTTTTGCTTCGCTTGGCGGAAATTATATTCTTCAAACGCCGTGTTTACGTGCGGAATAAAATAGGCATTGAGTGCTTCTATCGCTTTGTCGTAGTCTTTCGCTTCGCCAGTGTCTGAAAGGGTGTAAAAAATTTCGTCAACAGCCGGTCCTGCGAAATGTAATAGCATCGCACGTTGTTGTTTTTTGTCGGTAATATTCATCGCCACAAGCAACCGTTCAAAGCGGCCTAGCCATTTTTTCCAGCGATGACCGGTATTTCCATCGGCATGGACATCGAATGGCGGGAATGTCGGCAAGGAGAAACTAGTAGCTGCCATGGATAGATGTAGAAAACGGCGAACGACTTTATACGAAAAATATATCGAAATATATTGTTGTTGTGAAAATGGCGCGAAATGGCTTCCTCGTGGTCACACGAAATCTTGTTTTTATACGAATTTGCGCTTTGAAATTCGATGGTTTGACGTTGTAGATTGACTAAACGTGTTTACTAACTCCAATTGTGTATCCTCGTCGCCAGAATGTAGTGTTTAAGACTCAATAAAACGAGATAAACGCGTGTTATAGTGTTTGTGAACTATATATTGAATACTGATTAGTTATTCTTATTTGGATTAGTTATTAGCATATTAATTAGCTATATTACACCTTGTATTTCTTGCATGGTATTATAATACTTGAAACAATTCGAACCAATGAAATGAATAGATAAATCTATAGTTTAATTTGGTTTGGTTATTGTATGCAGTCGCTTGTATCTATAGAAGAAAACAAAGAAATATAGTTTACTCAAACCTATAGCTACCAATGCCCGATTCTTTTGTTTTAGAACCGCAAAGAGAAGTGATCTCAATATACAAAGATGACTTTACCACCCCGCCATCCAGACCTCAATATTTCATCGAAGTTTATCGCTGTGTTAAACTTGAAGTTGGCGAATGCTCTAGCAGTGGACCGTCTACGTACCCGGTTCCAAAAACAACGAACGAAATTGAGATAGTGGTTCCGGATATAACAAACAAAGATAGCGATTCTAGCGATAAAAAGAAGTTTTATAAATATGTGGTCCATAATCACACGTCTTGTCAATGTGGAAACTTAAAGTACAGGAATGGTAGACTGTATAAAACCATAGCTATATATAATAACGAAGGTTAGTCCAGCTTACACTGAACAAATAGAGCATTTGCACATGACGTCACAGCCGCCATGTTGGTGTTCCAATAGACAACTTGCATGTTAGACTAATTTTTGATCTAGGCAAAAAAGTGTTAATTCCCGTAAAGAACTTATTAAAATTAGTAAAATTGCAAAATTTGGTTGTGAATTGTTGTAAATACGGAAAATATAGCCTTGCGAAGTTTGCATATTTTGTATATGTTTGTATTACGTGCGGAAATTGTTACCATTTTTGAGCCGAAAATAGTAACATTTTCCGCACCTAATACAAACATATACAAAAGTTGCAAACTTTGCAAGACTATATTTTCCAAGCATTACAACATTTTGCAACCAAATTTTGCAATTTTACTAATTTTATTATTTTTATTGTTAATTTTATTATGTTCTTTTTAGCTTGTGGTGTTCGATTCCCTTCTCTTTACAATTAGATTAAGATTTAGTCTAACATGCAAGTTGTCTATTCAAAAGAATTTTAATTAGATTCTTTTGTCTGGAACACCAACATGGCCGCCATGGCTTTTGTTTAGTTGGTCCCTGGGGAATGAGTGCAAACGTTCTAAAACCGTGCAATTACCTAAAATGAACATGTTTTGTGATTAACTTTCTTTCATTCCGTTTAGAAAATTTGTTTTGTAGCTTTTTTGTTGCCCAAAAAACTCCAAAACTATTGAAATGACGTAAAATATTGACAGGGTGCATATATTATCTTCGTAAAGCGCAGGATTTTCTGCTCTTGGGAATTTAAAGCAGCTTTTAATTCTTGAACAGTTTCTTTATGCATAAAATTTATTTATGTCAAGATTTTATGCACGTGTGGGT